CCGCTAATGACGACGCTGACTTACGAGAGTTGCCGGGCCCGATCGATATCTATCCCGGAGATGGGGCTTCGATCGTCGCGGAAACGCAAATCGCGACGTGTCTATTCGCGGCCGAGGAGTCGCGCGTGGGATATCGCTCGGTTGCTACACTTCGCTCGGCACATACGGATCGCTCATTAAGTAACGCCCGTAGTCACTCTCGCTGCGGGTCCTGTGACACACTGACACATAAGTCGCGTTCTTACGTGCGCTATCGCCACGACGTATCGGCGCTTAGGTTGTGCGACTGCGAAAGTACGCGTCGTCGTTAACGATTAACCGCAGGAGGCAAGGTGAAGCGCGAAATTTCGCAAGCGTGAAATCACGCCCGATCGATATTTCTTCGTTAAGGAAGGGGCTTCTCCCAGCCGAGCGCGTTATTTTGAGGTAATTGCGAAATCGTTACGTTTATCTGTCGTACAGCGAGAGTGACAAGCTGCGAAGAAGCGGAAAAAGAGAAGAGAAAAGAAAGAAGAACCGACGACTCGGCTTTAAAAGTCGCGAGAGGTTTTACTTCTTCTACTTCATCTTCTTCCTCTTCGGGTTAGGAATTTACGTACTGACTTCGGCTCGATTTTGATGCGATTAATGTATCCGTCGTAACGTGGCGAAGAAAAGAAAGGAAAAAGAGGCGACGTTTAAGCGATTCGGCGTGACACACATACCACGCGAAACGTTTTACATAAAATCACGGATGGAAACGCGCTTCGATGCAGTCGACCTCAAAAAGACGACCTCTCGAATTTCACTGGGACATCAACGAGATATATCTTCTTCTTTTTCGCCACCTGACGGCCGTGCGATAGCGAAAGAGAGAGAAAAAGAGATGAAAATGTACTACCGCTTGTGTTCGTAAATTAAATTCATTTGCCCGGTGAAATCCGGCGAAAGATGCGACGATTGCCTCATCGATACTTCGGGCTCGCGACTTATTCTTTCCTCTTTCTTGCTTTCATGCTCAAAATGCAGAATTGTAACTTTCCCCGGAGGGGCGCGCGACGAGGCAGCTCGTCTATTCTACGAGATCGCGTAGAGTTATAGTTTAAATTCCGTCCAGCGCGTGAAAATTGTTGATCGCAATGCGACAAACGGGAGAGAACAGCGTAGCGCGTGAAAAAAATTTTGTCACTTATCTTCAAACTGAATTGCAACGAGACGGGGAGGGACTAGACGCGTCGTATCGTTCGTAATGGAGGGAAAAGGAAGGATGTATCGGTGACTTCTCCTCGCTTTGTTACGACACTTTCACTGCGGATCCCATGACTTCGTCCGTCTCCGCGACCCACCCTGTCCTTCTTGCGACACTTCTCCCCCTTTTCATTTCCGATAATAATAGAGAGATAATAATAGAGAAGTGTCGCTTGACATCATCCTCTTGTGCATCGGTCCGTGTCGCACGGCAATTCTGAATATTAATCGCGCGCCAATTGATGCGATATGTAAAACGAAGATACTATACGCGAAGCTTTTACTTTGAGGGGGAAACGAGCGCGTGCGCGCGCGAGTACACGCGCGGGAAAAATACCGAAATGTTCAACTCGCCTGTGAGATCCATCGAGAGACTCTTCTCGAGCATTTCTCACATACGCGCATTTTTCTCCCGGAATTTATCCATTGACGTGAGACGCGCGCAAGTTTCGTATGAAACGAGAAGTGTGATGTAACGCCAGTCCCGCCAGTCGGCGCGTTTCGCGCCGGTATTCGACAGCATGGTACATCGGAAAAAGCAGCGATGAGCGTAGATTTTCATTTCGTTTCCGCTTTCGCATCGAAAACGAAACGCGACGTGGCGGCGCGGCGGCGTGTTCCGCATTGTCGCAATTCCTCGCCGAGCGCGAGTCAACACGCTGCACTCCGTCGCGAGTCCGCAGCTCCAATCTCGTCGCGTGCGTACAGAAAATTGCGCTTTCGTTTGAAACGAAAAACTCGCTCTAAATGCGGAAGTAAAAGTGCCCCAGTTAATATGAGCCCGACACGACGACGACGATGCGTCGTCGTCGTGTCGGGCTCGATGGAACGTCGGAGAGTTTGAAGAGATCCGAACGCGAGGAGAGTTTCCGCCGGCGGTTTGAGAAGTCACCTCGGATTTAAAACTCCTCCGGTGTCCTCTTCTTCTTTCAATTCTGCTCCGTCACTCGTCAATCGTTGATTCCTCCTCTTTGTTCTTCGTGCTTCGGCTCCTTTCTCACTTCGCGGCCTCCGAGTTCTCCTCGATTGTTCCTCCGACTTCGCAGCGCGCACACGCGCGCCTTCCCGCCTCGCTATTATCCTTCCAATTTTCCATTATCGACTCTCTCAACTCCCAACTCTTCAACACCGCGCGAACTCTCCACACTCGACTCTCAATTCTCAACTTTCGTCGTCGCCAGTTCCCGACGGCCCTCTCTCGCTCGTGTCTTCCAACTCGACTCGGTTTTTTGCCACGCGCGGGGAAATCTCTCCGCGCAATCGTAGATTATACTCGCGAATACTTTTCGACTCGCGCTCCTTCCTTTTCTCAAAGGTCAAGGTTGCGACGTGACATCGCGCCTCCAACATAATGCCGGTTGAACGAACACGAAGCGCGCGCGGCCGTACGTGTCCCAGTTACCGTCCGCGTGTCCCCGTTCGAGCAAGGTTTGTCAATTTTCAATCGAACAGGTATCCGATCGAAAATATCGCGGGGGATCGAAGAGGAAAGCGAAGAGAAGCGGTTGTGTGTGCGAATTAATGGACGCTAATGGAAATTAATCAATTGTTGCAGGCGCGATTCTTAATGCAGGGGGTCGCGTAAGTCGCCGAAAAAAAGACAGCTGCGCCCGCGCGATGCGCGAGCGATCAATCATCGATTAATTTATGAGAACATTTTAAGTAATCTCCGTGAAATGTATTCTTGATGCACCGCGAGAATTTTATCCTCACGATGTTTCCAAAGACACAGACAGGTAAACAGTTCGTAACGTGTACGTGAGACACGAAATTGATGCGTTAATTAATTAATATCACGTAACGACGTCCGATAATTTTCGCGGATCGAGTTAGTCGAAATTACAGGGCAATTTTCCAATTCTCAGTGTTTTACACCTTCACGGACTATTAGCCGCTGCCGGGACGATTATGGCGCGGGAACTTGGGTGCTCGCTGTCTCTCCTTCCATCTAGATCTATCCGTCTCTCTCTCTCTCTCTTTCGCGCAAAGATGATGTCAACATCTTTTCGATTCCGCAACACTCGTCGCGCGCGAAAACGGCGGGAATATCCGTTCGATGTTCTCGATGTCGTCGTCGCGGGCATCGATCGGTTTCCTTGACGGCATTTACGACACGCCTTTCCACGTCGCGCTCATTACGTCCTTCGCTCGTCGTTTCCGAGAACTTTTGTGATCTTTAATAATCGCGAACCGCGACCCTCGCGCCGCTCCTCGAGTCATCACCGCTCGCTGTCTCCTCTCGGCCGTCTTCTCTGCTCGTCTCTGATCTCTTTGACTTCGCTGAGGAAATTTCGGAACAACGGTCATTATGATGAGAGCACAACGCGTGAGATGTGTGCCAACAGCTTCTCTCTCTTATCGGTTGCGTAAATAGAGGAAGTCTAGAGGTGTTAACGCGACCCTGAGAATCGCCTCGTAAAACTTAACGACCGAGGACTTTGACTTACGAGAGGAAGCCTTCGGGCTATCGCTCGCGACTAAGTAAATTAAGCACCGTCAATTAACTTTATGTGGAATTCGAATTGTTATCTCTCTCTCTCTCTCTCTCTCAGCAACCTCGAGTACGACTACCTGCGATTTGTCAATTCGCGAATCGCCTATACGCGTCTTTTGCTTTTTACCTCGGGTTGTTTATTCGGACTCTCTAAATTTCCTGAAGCGCGACTCCACTCAAAACGAGCGAAAAGTGTCAGTGCTTTCGCCCGAAAGCCCGACAATGGAGATACCGTCGCTCAACCTCGGAGAATTTATCCTCTTGAGCGAGTGAAAAATCACTCGAAGTCGGATGAGTCATTCGTCACTCTTCTTTTCGAGAATTTCACTCGAAAAACTCAAACAGTAAACGACGAGTGATATGTAATAATTAGAGAATCACGACGGGCAGAAATCTTTTCCTCGGGGGAGCCGACAAAAGCCCTGGCCCTTTTAATTTTGAGACTTCTCGTTGGTAGTAGCGTCGAGACTTTCCGTGACCCTTTGGAGGTGTGTAACTTACACGGGTCTTCTCGACGTGATGAATAATTCGGATTTCCGGAACATGAACGGGCGGTGCCGACTTTACCGCACGTTCGCTCGTGGCAAAGCGAGCAGCGCGAAAGTAGGCTTTTGGACGTTATCCCCGAGCATAAATCGCGACATCCACACACCCCCTTGGTCCGCAATCATAAATTCCATAAAACGACGTTAGCTTATCGGGGTCGTCTAATTCACGTGGATCACGCGGCGAACGGCATTTGCGAACTCGCGAAAGGAACTATGTAAGGAGGTGGTTCTCGTTATCGCGTTTATCACGAGTATAAACTCCCTCACGGGCGGACAGCCGACCGTTATTACATCTTCCGCATCGCTACCGTATGAAAGGACTCCTTGCACACAAGTGGCCAACCCCATACTTAGGCCACGTCGAATCCTCTTTTTCCACGATTCGCCGTCTTCCTCATTGGCCGCGCGACGTTCATCGCCGCGCGTTGCGGCGATTTGGACGCTCTATCTCTCTCTCGTTTTCGCACCACTACGTGTTCGCCGTATCTTCCTTCTCATACGATACGCTGATTTTGACGCGTCGATTTCTCTTTTTCCGTCATTCAAATACGCTCGTGTATTTTCGATCTCTCTCTCCTTCTCTGTCTCCGTCTCTCCTCTCCTCTCCTTTCTCTCTCTCTCTCTCTCTCTCTCTCTCTCTCTCTCTCGCTGGCGATTTAACGCGGAGGAGACGACGGTGGTGGTGGCGGTGGCGGTGGCGGTGGCGACGGCGATATGGCGGTGTGGCGGCGGCGGAGGCACCTCTCGCTTTCACTCGCCGCGTGGTTGTGCGAAGAGGCTGTCACGGCGTCCGAGAGCCTCAGTATCCGCCGGAGAGTCGCCGGAGATACATTCTCGATGTTGTTGATGCGGCATCGCGATCGGTGTAACATCCGATATTAAGGGCTCGAGCGAGTGAACGAGCGAGCGGGAGATTTTCGAATCACGTCTGCGTGGCCGCGCCGGAAGCGACAGCGAAGCAGCGAAGGAGGAAGAGAGAGAGAGAGAGAGAGAGAGAGAGAGAGAGAGAGAGAGAGAGAGAGAGAGAGAGAAGAAAATAGAAAAGAAGAGAGGAGAGGAGATAAGAAGAGAGGGAGAGAGAAGGACCGCGACGAGCGCGGGAGGACGCGATTATAAGAGCGAGAGCGCGCGCGGTCTGTGACAGAGGAAGAAGCGCCACTGGAAGGGTGACAGAAATGGTGACAGTCGGCTGGCTGAGGTAAGGGTTGAATCATCAGTCGGTTAAATCGCGATAAACGACAGATTGTGCTCCTTTCGGAGCGTCGCGCTCTTTTTCCTTTTAATCGAAATTGTCACGGTGGTTGAGTTTCGAAATGGTCACGGGACCGCGAGTTAATTCGAAATCGTTTGGACCAGAAGCTGTCGACGAGGCGGCAATTTCGTCTGGGAGAAAATGGGGAAAAATCGGAATCTCTTTCTTTCACCGGAAGAACGTGTCGAACGTCGGCTAAGTCGGGAGGGGGCTCATCGATACGGCGTTACGTGGGAGGCGATTAGTATGAGTTAACGCTTGTCACGAGGATGGCGGAGTGTTCCGAAGTAGCATGTAAAAGTAACTTTCTAATAGCTGAACGGCACCTCATTGTTCACATTCTTGTTAGGTGAATTAAGCAGCTTCGGTTCTCTTCGGCGAGTACCCACGAGCGCCAGCCTCCTTAATTAAGCATGCGTTTCGATGTTCGGAGCTTAGTCCGCGGGTGAAATACTCTTTTATATTGTGTAGGGACATGATGATACAAATCCTCAAGTATATATGTTGTGTCAAGCAAAATAATAATACACAAAGTAAATAAAACACGTATAAAAATAGCGCCCGCATGTTATAACGTGATAGGTTCGGTCACGTAATCGGTGCGAGTGTGTGTGTGTGTGTGTGTGTGTGTGTGTGTGTGTGTGTGTATGTGTCTGACAACTGCACTTCATAATTTTTTGTAAGCATCATCATTCCGTTTGATATCTGATATCTTTAGCAGTTTTCTTGACAAACTTTGTTACGACGGATAGAAATCTCTTCTGTCGTTCGAGAACATTTTCTTGATTGTTAAACTCCCAAGAGTGTCTGTCTACGTTCAATGACACGTACAGGTCATGCGTCATGTATTTTTTCAATTAATCAACGATAAACGGCGGAACAAAGTTTTCCTGTTTTCCTAGTAAGAAACCGGTTTTAGTTGCTCGTCACGAATTTTCTCAAAAGACGAAGATAACAGAATAGCGATTGCGCCGAAACTCGCGTTGATGGCAAAAGGATTTTCCATCATTCCCGGAATTTTTTTTTTTCATTAATGTTATCATGTATCGTGTAAAATTGTTGCTAATTCGTTGAATCGTAAGTTTACACTGCGCGAAAGGCTGAAAATCTTCAATCCGGAGGATCCCATGAAGAAAAAAAATCATGGCCCAAACACGTTGCACGAGAGACGTTGAAGCGTGGACTAAAGTCCAAGTAGTTAGTGTCGCTAATTAGTCAGACACGCTCGTTCCGCGTCGTCGAACATCGTAACATCACTACGCGCACGAACGATTCCTTGTATTCGAACCGGCAATCTTAAGAATCGGAGATATGGAGAATTTGAAATTCATGAGGATTTAACAGATTTCTCTGGAATTCGACAATCCAGGATCCGTCTGGTAGTCCGGCGTTTTGGATAGTCGGATAGAATTTACATAATTAATGTCGCGTCGTAGCTACATAACGACACGATTCAGTGACCTCAGAATTCAAGAATTTAAAGATTCGAGGATTTTTAACTCCTTAATAAGAAAAAAACTTTTTTAAACTTGCATCACGTATTATATCTCGGGAACTCGGCGGATTAAAATCTGATTGAAATCTAAGACTGCACTTAAAGAGAATTAAAGTATGCAAAAGGTTTCTGCTTATGTTCGAGCGGGTCGACGTCCCATATTGATTTTCAAGTACGCGATACCTCTCGTGGAAGTTCTAATTATCCTTAGATCAAGCAAAGATTAACTTTACTTATATATTTCTAGCAATTACGGAGGCAGTTACAGAGTGAGATGACCTACATTAGACTAATCACGGTAGTCGATGCGTCCGTATAATTATATGTGTACGTCAGATACAATTGTAGTAATGTTTTGCTTGCGCAATGCGCAATACGCGTCTTTTCTTTTTTGCCGATGCGCATTTGTAATTTACGCGGGACGCATTATGAAGAAAGAGGGGAGCGATGCTGGTTTAAACTTTGAACACAAAGCGATCGCTCATAGTTTTTACGACGTAACATAAAACACTGCAAACAATGGATAGGAATTAGCTCACTTTTTTTTCAGTGGGGATGAGATAACATTACGGAAAAGAGGAGATTTTTCAATCGTGTCGCGTCGAGCGAATTGACGAGCTAGCAAGAAAAATCTCGAATAAGCAAAAACTGGACGTAGAAACTTACCTTTCCGGATAAGTTTACGCACCGCGACACAAAATTCTCCCTGTCGATGCGACTGAACCTCTCAATTTGCGCGATCCTAACGATTCGACAGAGAGCGGGGAGCGAGTGGAAAAAGAGAAAGACAGAGAGAGAGAGAGATCGTACTTCGACAATTTTTCAGGGATGAATATTAATCGCAAGGCGCTCGCTCGCGCTCGCGCTCCCACCCGTCACGAACCAATTCGTTATAATTAACGTTTGTTACTTGCGTATCGTGATGTAGCACTTGGCGAACCATAAAGTTGAGCATAATTAAACTAGATAAGTTTTAACGGTGGTAAATCTTTCAACCGTGTAATCGCGCGGCAACGACGCGTTTACGCTTCGCTAACGAACGCGCTGCCGAAAAGGCACGATGCGCCTCGGGAAAGAGGAAAAGAGAGAGGGAGGAAAGGAAATACTATCTATTAGTTTTCAGTTTGCAATTAAGATGAAGGTCTCAGGATTAGAACCGAGTGTGGCGTCCCACGCCTCTCGCTCGAACTTTCTCCCGACTGTCCGAAGAATTATTCATCTCATTCAATTTCATTGTATATTTTATGTCTTAATATAATAAATATACGGCGCTTAATAAATATATACGGTAATTCTAATTTTCGGCTCGCCGGGAGCCTGTTGATGTCGCCACTTTCTCTCTCTTTCTCTCTCTCTCTCTCTCTCTCTCTCTCTCTCTCTCTCTCTCTTTTTCCTCTTTCTCTTTCTCGAAACGATCGGCGCATACAGATGTTTAGATTAAATAATAGCGACGTGGACTCGCGGCGACGGGCCGGGAGTGGCGAGATATTGTCGCAGCCTGAGGACGAGGGACGATTTTACGAGAGGGTTCGTTACCCTCGCTTCCGCGTTCGCTCGTCGTGTATATTTGGACTCCTCGACGAAGGAGGGAGAGAGAAACGCAACGGCTCCTGAGCTGATCGCAGATCGATGCGGTGTTATTACAGATAGAAAGTTACGGACGCGCGCTTGAGGCCGCTATTATCTTTATTCTTATCGTGACTGCGGCTATAAACATAACCGTTATTTCCACGCGGAATCTTGTGTGGTAACTAGTAATGACACTTTGTTGCATAAATAGCATTAAGTACTATTCGCCACGAAGCTCCATTCCTTGCGGTCTGCGAGAGGCGAATCTCTTTTTAATCGCGCCGCTAAGCGCAAGCTACGTCGGCCCGCTGAAGAGACGCGGACGATGAGGCCGAAGTGGAAAAATGACAAAAGCAGCGGGCTGAGTATGCAGAACAGCGTTAACGGGCGGCTCGCGTTATACGGTGTTTTGTCCCGCCGGGCGACGCGGTTATCCTCGTTGTGTAGCGGCGAGCCTCGTGCGTATCTCTTCTCGCGGACAAGCGGAACGGGAAGGCAACGTAGAAAACGTAAACTTACCTAACTCTTCTTGCCGCGCCAGGCCGATTTTTTGCCGATTTTGCCGATATTGCCGATATTGAAAACTCGGTGTCCGCGATATCGGGCAGCGATCGACATTTCCGTCGCGAAATGCGAACTTCGCGACGTAAAGCGACGCGGATTGCCCGCCGCGGTTACATCCGCGAATTTCACTCCCGCATCCGATTTTCCTCGCGCATCTTCTCATTGTGCGCCGGCTGGATTCTTTCTCTCCTTCCCTCCCTCTCTTCGATTCCGTTGCAACCGGCACGCGAGGACCACTTCCCAGCGTTAGGCCGCGTCTCGTCGCCGAAGACTACAGGACGACGCATAATCGCGGCCCGCGACGTCGTTCTTACGCGTTCTTCTTATACAAACAAGCGTCACGCGAATCATGCACTTTCTCTCTCTCGAGGCTACCGGCGATGAGTTCCTTACTCCCTCCACGGTACGACGGTAATCTCGCCGATATCTTCGTGCGCGGAATAAATCCGCGCGCAATAAGACGAGAGGGAGGAAAAAGAGGGAAGGAAGGGGAGAGAAACAGCGGCAATATGCAGAAAGCGACGGACATTGTTCACCTGCGGCGCGATCCGCTCAACTTTGCCGCCTTGACCGCCGGATACGACGATCGATCTCGCTCGATCGATCGATCGATCGATCGGCCGGCCGGCCGGCCGGCCGATCGTGCATGCGCCGTCGCGCTCAGGAACGGATCCGAGCGAAGCAGCGCCCTGAAACGCTTCTTGCCGTCTAATTTCTCACGATCCTCTCGCGCGAAACAACAACGGACGATTTTCTTTTCTTTTCTTTCCATTCTCCTTTCTTCCTTCGCGCCGCAGGTGATCTCGCGCGGATGCGATTTATCATTCCACGAGAGCCCGCTCGCAGTCCGCGCTTCTCGCTGACCGGTTATTATTTGTCAGCCGCTCGATCGATCCATCATCGTTGCGGACTTTTGGAACAAATCCGGCCGTTCGGCCGGCAAAAATCTGCGAGCTCCGTCCGTGCCGTGAATTTTTCCGCTCGCATTGCCGCTGGCGCCGAGAGACGCGAGATCGTTCACCGCGATTTTCCGCGCTCTTCTAACGCGATCGCCGACCGTAGAAGCTGCGTTTACGTAATCCCGGAGTACCTACGAAGTTCTCGATCAATCGACGAGACGCGGGCACACATACAGCGCGCGCGCGCGCGCGCTCGCGACCGCGAGACGCAACTTTCTAAAACACACGGAGAAGAGCCGGGAAGGAGGAGGAGGAGGAGAGCGCGCGCGCAGGAGGGGTGGGGGCGGGAGGAAGAGAAGGAGGGAGGAGGAACGAGATTCACTTTTCACCGATAACGGAATCTTTATTTCATAGAAAGC